TACCTATAGCTATTATTGTATTCATACGAAGCATAATTTGTCCAGAATCTTACATGTGAAAAGAAGAAAACACTTGTTGTGGCCTTCAACTCGATATTTCAGATACCGGGTATGTTGACTACGTATTGTCAATTATCAATGGTAATTTGCATTCTTTTATGTCGATATGATATAGCCCTATGAGCTTGAGATAAAAGATGCCACAAAGTTTGAAACACCTGTTTTATAATTATGTTACTTAAAAAGGCGTTAATGGTAATCTAACAACCAAGGCTCTACGATAAACGTGATAACTTTAACTTTTCTATCGTAAACTTCCCTTACTTATGCAGCAATAAACCTTCATCGAAATCCAGTCAAAGCGCTCGTTCCCACCATTATCACCTGCATATAGAGTTTATATTTCATAGTTAATTCGATACGCAAGATATGTACAATTTATAAATTATTGACAAACAAGTTGATGAAACAAGAATTTCAGCAGTCTCGTTCAAAGTCATCATTTCGTAAGTTCTATGATCGATACAATGACCTTGTAAGCAAACAATTTATCATTGAGTCAAATGCTGACTGACGTTTTTCATTAATTGTTAGTTCATTATTTATACACTGAATTGACGACAGAATTTTTCCCGTTATTTCAAGATCATTACAAAGATCAAACGCCGATTGTGACAGGGGATACTTACCCCTCCATGACATCTAATCCAACAACTAATGCTTTGAAGATCCGTGTTTGCTCTGCTCCTATTTTGTATTGTTTTATGGACTTTTTATTTTGAATGCTGTTCATTATCTCTATATGTTAACAGTTTCATAAAGCAAATTTCAAATTACAATATAAATATCCTCTATTTCAACCCACAGTATAAACTGAATCTTTCAAATTTAAGAATACATTCATATATATAGCAATATATATAAGCAATATAGATTTCATCTATTAATATTCTATTTGCCAATATGTTCAGTCAATTTTTAATCTCCTTAGCCCCCCACCCCCCATACCCACCCCCGGTTCCGACCCCCTAGACTAGAGCCAATGGTGATACTGATATTGTTGGCTATTCACTTATTAATAAAGCTGTCATTTTATAGTACATATTCTTAAGAAACTGGAAACCCAACCATATTTATGTCTTCTACGTCATAAAAATCTATTTTCTTATCTTACCAAATTAAGAAGTGCACATAAATTGTAAGTAGAAACAGGCAGATATTGTAATCCTGTCATTTCTAGAGAAAGTAGATTTTCATTATACATGGGCATCGGAAGCAAATTGAATGGAGGGGGGCTAAACCAACAAAAAAGGTAAATGCCAATTTTCAATGCCTATATAATGTATATTTTTTCAAAAAAAGTGGGGAGGGGGGCTAAGCCTCCCTAGCCCCCCCCCCCCCCCCCGTTTCCACCGCCTATGTTGTAAAACTTGTTGAAGACGAAAGACACGGTTAATTGATAGAGAAAAGTATTCAAGGTTACTATATGTTGATAATAACTTAATCTTTTTTATTTAAAAGCCTTGTTTCTACAAAACAAATCTGACTATCTGTCTATCGCAGACTGTTTAATATTTTGATATTAGAAAAAAGCTTGCTACATTAAAAAATATTTTGTAATAATTATATCAGTGTATATATGTATGGCTAAAAACACATTCTCGTAAAATGTGCTTAAAAAAAGAAGATAAAATTTTTGGATCCGTTCCCTCGTGTTCGGTGTAGAACCAGGAAGTGTCAATATTATGTAGGTCGACAAAGAGACAACACCTGACAGTCACACCTGACATCGGAAGATAACGGTCACCAGGTAAGTAAACCCAGTGAAGGGAATATTTTTCTGTCGTAAAATTTCTGTAAGACCTATATAGTTTGATTTACCTTTTACTTCGAGATACATTTTTCATGTTTTTGATTACAATTTTTTTTCATTTCAAAGCTTGAAAAAATTGGGATTTCGGAGAGGATATCCTGTTGTCCGAATTGCAGACTTTAAAAAGATTGCTCTAAAATATGATTTTTATTTGCATACTGATACGCGACATAAAATAGGTACGTGAAAATAAACTGTACAGTCTTATTAATCCCATAAACAATACAAACCTAAATCACACGGACCCCTATGCATAGGCGTTAGAACCAGGGGAGGGGGCTAGGGGCTGGGGGGGTTAGCCCCCTTTTTTTGCAAAGATAGACATTTTCTATGTATTGAAAATTGGGGTTTACCTTTTTTTGTTGGTTTAGCCCCCCCTTTCAATTTGCATCCGACGCCTATGCTGGGAACAACATTTTGAAAAGTGGGATCAGGTGACTTAGAGGAATAATACTCTCTTTCTTACCAGCAGAGAAACCTCTGTACTGACCAGGTTAGCGAAGTAAACCGTACAGTCAAAAAAGCCTAAAGTTAGGTATGAAACACAGAATTCAATCAATTTAGTTCGCGATTGTTTAAGTTGCAACAAGATCATTAAAACGACCATAGAATAAATAAATACTGGCTTTATACGAAATCTTAACGCCTGTTGCATCAAGGTATTTGACTGTAGTCTGTGTAATTAAGTTTAAAATTAGTTGTATTTGGATTTTTTTGTTGCTGTTGCATGCACGTATCTGCTGGGAGACACACTCTATCTGAAAGCGATATAACACACCCCATAATAGGGCTATGTTTGTAAAATACCTTATTGTTATATGTGAAAATTAAAGCCATCCCATTTGCTATCAAAATGGGGTTTAAAGGTTTTCAGTCAGTAAATTTTTCAAAAGTATTGGGGGAAAAGAAAAAAAACATATATTGTGATGATTTGTTATACTAAATCATCAAGTTTTCATTGTTGAAATACATTTTTGAGTGTTGAGTGCCAATAATTAGCTACAGAGCTATTGTTTTATGGTTTATATTAAATTCTCTGACCATAACAATACTGCAATATCAAAGTGGTCTCCACAGACCAATGGACTGACTCTTAGGGGTTAGGAGGTGATTAAAACATAGAGTTTGGTTAAAAACAAGCAAATTCAAAGAATTGTGGTCCCCCGCTTTCGATGTCTTTGTGGGTGAGATGTTATTTTTCATATTGTGTGTAATATATGTCATTTTTTCAGAAAGTAACATTGAAGTTGATTTTTTTTAAGGATGAAAACCCTAATCCTGACCGTTAAAAAGTTATGGCCAAAGTAAAAAGTTTTTCAAAAGTAGGTCAACTCCAAGGTCAAGATCAAAGGGTCAAAGTTGTTGATATCCAATGAAAGGTTTTCTCACAATGATTACACATGTGAAGTATGAAAGCCCTAGCCCTTACTGTTCAAAAGTTACGGTCAAGGTTAAAGTTTTTTCATAAGTACGTAAATCTTTAAGGTAAAAAGGTCAAGGTTGTTGATATCCAATGAAAGGACTTGCCACAAATAATACATACGAGATATGAAATATGAAAGTCCTAGTATCTACCGTTCAAAAGTTGTGACCAAAGTTAACGTTTTTTAAAAAGTAGTTAAAATTCCAATGTCAAGGTCAAAGGGTAAAAGTTGTTGGTATCCAATGAAAGATCTTCTCAAAAGGATTACATATGTGAAGTACGAAAGCCCTAGCCCTCACCGTTCAAAAGTTATGGTCAAGGTTAAAGTTTTTTCATAAGTACGTAAATCTCCAAGGTCAAGGTCAAAAGGTCAAGGTTGTTGGTATCCAATGAAATGTCTTGCCACAAAGAATACATATGTGAAATATAAAAGTCCTAGTATCTACTGTTAAAAAGAAGTGACCAAGGTTAAAGTTTTTTAAAGTAGTTAAAACTCCAGGGTCAAGGTCAAAGGGTAAAAGTTATTGGTATGGAATAAAAGGTCTTCTCACAAGGATTACATATGTGAAGTACGAAAGCCTTAGTCCTCACCGTTCAAAAGTTATGGTCAAGGTTAAAGTCTTTTCATAAGTACGTAAATATCCAAGGCCAAGGTCAAAAGGTCAAGATTGTTGTTATCCAATGAAAGGTCTTACCACATATATGTAAAATATGAAAGTCCTAGTACCTACTATTTAAAAGTTATGGCCAAAGTAAAAGTTTGGAATTTTTATGTAAAAGTGGGTCAAACTCCAAGGTCAATGTCAAAAGGTCAAATTTGGTGGTACCCAAAGAAAGTTCTTGTCACAAGGAATACACATGTGAAATATGAAAGCCATAGCTCCACTAAATCAAAAGTTATGGGCAAGGTTAAAGTTTTTGTGACGGACAGACTGACAGACAGACGGACAGACGAATGAGATTTAATGTCCCCTCGCTTTCGCGAAAGCGGGGGACAAAAATACCTAGAAACAGGGAATGATAGATAGTTGATTGACCATTGTGGAAAGTGGGGAAATATAACCCCAACCGTGCGCAGAAAAATTTCAAGTTATATTATTTTGTATTATGAGATCTACAGAGGAAATAAGGTTGAAGCCAATGAGTTATGCAAACAGATTGCAATGGATATGCATATTTAATTATCAATCATATGTCCAATCTAAGCAGTGTTCTCCACAGAACAATGGAGCCACTTGTTTGAATTAACGAAAGTTTTCTATTGTTCTGTAGAGCTTAAAAAGACTGCCTTAAAATATGATTTTTACACATGCATACTGATATGCTAAATAAAAAAAGGTACGTGAAATTAAACTGTTCAATCTTATTAATCATATAAACAATACAACCTTATAATCAAAGACTTTAATATAAAACCATAACGCTACAGATCTGCAGTTAGCTAATATTGCGGACACATCGCAGGTAATTTATTTTTGTTTGATGTTTTTTCTTTCAACATGTTTAAAGATCGCTAGAAAGTAATTTAATTTTTAAGCAATGTTTAGCCATGTTTAAAACATTATAAGGAAATAATAATCTAAATGTAAAACAAATGAAAACTAGATTTACTTGTTCCGACTAATGTCTTTTGTTCTTTAAAAAAATAATTTGAGATGCATTGTTCTTCTATTTTTGTTTGTAGATCTTTGTCTTAATTAAGGCATGGAGGGCCAACCCCGTGCCCAGGACGTGATGTGTTGTGCCGTTTGCAACACTGCCGCGGTACAGATGCATTGTGATACATGCCTTGTTAATCTGTGCACAACTTGCGTAGGTAAACACATGATTTCTGATGAATCCAATCTTCACCAAGTCGTCAAATTTCAGTCTAGGAAATCAGTTCCCCTCTACCCTAAATGTACAATACACACCAAGGAACGTTGTGAGATGTACTGTAAACATTGTGATTTACCAATATGTAGTGCCTGTGTTGTTTCTGAAAAACATACAAGTCACAAAATTTCTCAGCTCCGTGAACTGTACTCTAAAAGGAAAGAAATACAACAAGACGTTGGGAAAATAAAAGCGGACATTTTACCAACTTACAATGGTATCATGGCAGTTATACATATGAAGATGGACAGACTAGAATTGAAATGTAAAGAAATTTCTGAATCTATAGCAAAACTAGGAGAGGACTGGCACAAGAAAATTGACAGAGTTGTCAATAAACTCCAAACTGAACTCACAGAGATGAAAAAGGCACATATGGAAGCTCTTAAACATAACAATGACGAAATAGAACGGGATATCTCAAACATTAATTTTCATTTGAATTTGTTAGAAAAAATTCTTGAATCAAATGATTCGTCCTTGCTATTTCAATATAATAGTAAAGTACCCACATTTAAGAAAAGTCCACATTCTGTTAATATTTCTTTGCCATCATTTGCGCCGAAAGAAATTCAACAAGATCAGATTCAGGAACTTTTCGGAACGTTGTCCTTGATAAATGACGACCATGTGTACAACTCAAAGATGGCAAAGAAAATAGCAGAATCCGCACCGGCTCCTTCAGCCAAAACACTACTGGATAAACCAGAGACCATCACCACAAAATATGTTGGGTACACTTATCTTCAAAACATTGCCTGTCTGAAAAATACTAGGATTTGGGCAAGTGGAGATTCCAGAGTCATTAAGCTCTTCAGCATCGGCCAGGAATCACATGTCAAATCATGTATTACTAGTATATCATTTGACACCAACATACCAGGTGTATTCTCAGGTCCTTTATACATAGCAGTGACACGTAATGGAAATCTGGTTTATTGTGACCCGCATGCGAAAACAGTAATTGAGGTCAAGAACGAAGAGGTACAGCACACGATCGAGTTACACAATTGGAGACCTCAAGGTGTTTGCCCCACCTCCGCTGGTGACCTTCTGGTTATCATGGATAATAGAAGAACTAGTGTTTTTCTGGCAACCATGCGTGATGGCAAACCTTTTCAAACAAAAGTAGTCCGTTTTTCTGATTTCGTAGAGAAACAAACCATTCAGCTTGACGAGGAAGGTAAACCTCTATACCCAAATACTAGTACTTGTTCTTACAGAAGATATATCACCGAAAACAGGAACCTAGATATCTGTGTGACTGATGGTGAAGCTGTTATAGTGGTTAATCAAGCTGGAAAACTGAGATTCAGGTACACTGGGCATTACCCTCCCCCCAAATGGAATCAAAACTTCACTCCCCGAGGAATCATAACAGACAGTCTGAGTCATATACTTACAGCTGATGAAATGAATAAGTGCGTCCATATCATTGATCAGTATGGACAGTTTCTCCGTTATATAGACTGTGGAATGGTAAAACCTATGGGACTGAGTATAGATGAAGACGATCATCTGTTTGTTGCTGACAATAAAAAGAAAAGTGGACAAATAATCAAACTCAGATATTTGAAATAAATAGCATTTGCGCAAATGTCAGTTTTATTTTAAATCGTTAAAAAATTATAAAGGAATAATTGTTTTTGATCCCATCAGGTCATGTTGAAATGATACATTCCTAGCGCTTCAAAATTTATCACGAATGGAGCTCTAGACACAAGAAACAATTTTTACTTTGACTGTAATGTGGGCTTAAAGTATGCGAACAGTTCCCAAATTTTTGTTCACGGCGGGTGTCACATCTCAATAGTGGATGCTCACTCCTTCATGGCATCTGATCCCATCTCTTATGTTCTTAGAGGCCAGTGTTCGCTGTGCTTCTATTTTTTTCAGTGGGCCATCGACTTGATTGCTTTTTGTTATCTTCACAATTCCCTCTTAAAAATCAGTAAGAGAGGAATAGGAAGGACGTTCTTACTATTTGTGAACTAGATCAAGGGACATGCTGATATTCTTGTTTCATCAACTTGTTTGTCAATAATTTATCTCGTTTAAGAAATTAAGACTTTGTTCTGCTCCTATTTTGAATTGTTTTATGGACTTTTGATCTTGAATACTGTTCGTTATCTCCATATGTTTCGTACGCAGAGTATACTAGCTCTTGCGCATCGAATCAAGTGAGATATGAACCCCGTATGCTGAATCTTTTTATGTCAATTATTGTTTACAACTTATCGAGTGATTTCAACCATTGAACTTATCACGTGATGTCAACCATTGCCAACAACTTATCACGTGTTGTCAACTGTTGCCAAAAATTTATAACGTGATGGCAACCATTACCAACAACTTATCACATTATGTTTACCTTTACAAACAAAAAATACCAAATAATAATAAAATACCAAAAAATAGAATAAATAACCCGTGTAAGCGGGTTATTATGTAATTTTTTCTGCAATAGCTGCAACATTCATTCCCGTACTAACAACCAAAGAAAGACATCTTATTATTTATAATTTTATATTTATATCTGTGTAAAGAATCATTTAAACTAGGATGAAAAAGAATAATTATTGTATTAATGATGCGAACGTCTGAGACGTTCTATTGATGGAACAGCCACCGATCAAGAAATCTGTACAGGTGGACATGCCTATTGTAGTTCATGCACTGATTACTGCAATGGGTTTTCTTAAGAAATAAAAGAGAAAATATTCAGTGGATGTAAATGTAACGTGGTTGACACTAATCCTTGATGAAGTTATCTGTCCAAATACGGAAAGAAAGAGATGAATCATTAAAATGTAAAATTGAAATTATGTGAATAAAACTCAGTGAAGTAAAATTCAAAAATTTTTATTCATCCAGGATTACACAAATCAAATACAGCTCATATCAATCTGATAAAAATCAGACCCTTGTTGCTAGTGCTTTGTATGTGATGTATCCTTCACAATTAAAAAGAACGAGGATCTGATGTTAGTCATATTGTAACACATACATCTAAATATATAAATCGTGCTGGTGAAAAGTAAAAAAAACACAACACAATAGATATTAATGCTCTAACATGGTTATAACAATACACTCAATGACTGGCGATATGAGAAATAAGATTGAAACAATTAGAAAAGTCTTTTGACAAATTACAAGCTGTTTAAGAAAAATCAATTTGATTGACTGCATCATTGCCACACTCATTTCCAAACATTTAAGAGACAACAATAATATGGCTTTTTTTAATTTTTCCATAAAACATTTGAAGACTGAGTGAAGAAAAAAATTCTTTTTATCGAAGTTGAAGAAAAGAAATAAAGTATGGTGTTGATACCATGTATAAATATGTAGTAGTAGGAGGTACCATAATTAAAGTAATCTGGCCAGGGTCTTACTGGAGTGGTGCTTTCTGAAAAAAAGTTCTAAAGCATTGGTGTCGTTCGTGGGACTATCTGATTATGATTCATCTAAAAGGAAACTTTTGATGGATCAAAACCTAAAGAAGAGAGAAACAATACATCATCAGCTTACAAATACAGACTGCTAGCAAATAATAATTCTGATAAATCCTTGTCCGTAGATGGCAGTGAAGTTAAACCTTTGATGACAACAGGAATGTCTGATAATTGTTTAAGAAGTGAAATGATGGGAGTCGCCTGTACCAATTAATAGAATAAGAGCAACAACAACAGACATCTACACTTTGAGATCTCCTGCTGCTCTGGACGTCTTCACGGTTTTAAAGCGATGATTGACGAAGGTCATATTAATTGCAATGAAAAATAAACCAGGACTATGTCATCAGTTACAATTATCAACTATTAGCATAAATTGAAGAAGATGCAATAGCCTTATATTCCGCTCATTGTTATACAAAATACCGAGGATATTGCATTATATTTGTTATTTAATTAGTCATGGCTTTTCAGTACAACCATAGAGTTTCGTATTGTTGCTAAGAGGATAATGTTGAATTTGCCATTAAGTTTTGTTGAGTATTTATATACATCATACATTTTTTTTATTCAAATGTTTAGTACAGAGGTCATCCGTAAAGAAGAAATACCTCAATTCATACCCTATACACAAGGTACCTGCAAAGGCAAGACTCAGAATTGAAAAGTAAAATGGTTTCCGAAGTTTTAGATTTACGGAATCGGAAAAGAAAAAAGGCCTCAATTCAAATCCTCTACAAAAGATATCTGCAAAGGCAAGACTCAAAATTTGCAGGTAAAAGGGCTTTCGAAGGTTAATATTTACTATAATTATGGTTATGATTGTTACAACGTTACATAATATAGCCAGAGAACAGACGACTTGTCTCAAAGGTAAAAAATATTCTCGGGAAGGACGTTACGCAATATGAAATCAATCAATCAATCTCTAAGTTGATTCGATTTACAAGAGCACGTATGAACAATTTTTTAAACGAGATAAATTATTAAAAAAACAAGTTGGTGAAACAAAGATATCAACAGTCTCGTTTAAAGTCATCATTTCGGGAGTGATGTTCGCTGATGGTAACGTTACAGCACTTGTTTTGAATGCAGAGATTTCTCTGCCCATTATGGAATTGATGCCTGCAAAAAAGAAGATGGAGACCAAAGATCTCTTCCTTTTCGATCTAAAACTTTTCTGAAAAAAAAATGACGAAGCTATACTACCGTTTAATCAATGTTGTATTGATTGAGAACAAATATGGCATTCAAACTTTTATTAAAAATCTTGAAAAAAGAACTTCGTTCATATAAATAGTTGAATAAATCTAATCGGATAGCTTTTCAAATTTCTTATATTTTCAATATATTAAATTACTGACGAAAATACGAACAAGGAAAATGAGTGTAATACACAACCTATCCTTAATGTCTCTTTCTCCTCATCTCATCTTACCCTATATTATCGGATGATATATATACCTGTATCGGATTTAAATGATATTCACATTAGCATCTTATATTGCTTTATTAGTTTCAGTTTGATTTATTGATATCGTGCTGTATATGAAAAACTGGATTTTGAAGATCGACGATTTATTGTTTTCTTTGTTGTCTTTCACATTCAGAACATTATCTTTTTCAGTCCTCTTTCATCTTGTTTATATATCTGGATAATTATTCCAATCATGCAACATCAATCAGTGGTTTTAAAGTATATTTTTTTCAAAGTTAAGTCAATAAATATAATGACATAAAGATTATGAGGAATTGAGACATACAAATTATGAAGTTGGTCGGTACACTCAACTGTAGGTGGATAAAGACAAACTAGAGGTACTGTGAACATTGAGCTCACTTAATGATACCCCCGCCTCCCATATGAATATAATGGCAGTGTCCATGTTTTGCTATTGGAAACCACGATATGTTTTTAAAAATATTGCAATTCTATATACATGTATAATATCATCATACTGTATAGTTGAATGTCCTAATGCATGTAATGGGTCTTATAATTTTAATTTTATATAGAACAGCATTCAGCATATTATCGCCGCATGCGTGGCGCAGTCGTTAGAGCTTCTTCTTTAGAGTTGCAAATTAAGGAGTAAATTCTTACGTCGCAGATTCGAATCCCACTGTAGGACGTTGATACCATATAGACCAAGGTCCAGTGTCGTAGTAGGTGCCAGTACGAAAAAGATCCCTCCCTGCTCAATGGCCCTGCGTGTCGAGTATAGGTCAACATTTGTAGCTCTCTATCGGCAAGTGGTGGCGTCTCCATATGAGTGAAAAATTCTCGAGAGAGACGTTAAACAACATACAATCAATTAATCAGCGTACATGTATTTACACTACTGATTCTTCTATTTACTATATATACACATCATAGACAAGGCTACATCATACAATGTTAAAGACAAACAACACACAGACACAGGAATACAACTTTATATCAAAATAAATGTTTTTCAGGTATTTATCTGGATACTCCTAAAGTGTCTTCTTTTTAATGTTACTAAAAAAACTTTTCCATCATCTTTGAAAATATTCTCTTCTCTCCCGAAGCAAAATCAACAACATTGCCAAAACGCATGACAGCCTTAAATGTTTTAGAGGGAACATCGGTTTTCCTCATCAAATCGTAGTTAATGACCAGCAATTCCTTTCTAGAGTCTGACAAGTAACTGTTCCAGATACACTTCCAGTCATTCCGCGTCAGAAAAGAATCCTCATCGAAGTAGCCGTCAGACATGAGGACGATGTAGTACCTCGATACAGAAATCTGTCTTGAAGTCTCCTCTGACCTTATACAGCCTAAAGGTAGGTCACGTGACGGGATAAATGCAGTCAAATCATTCCTGTTCAAAAACGATTCAAGTCTCTTTATCAGCCACGAGTTCAAATCTTCTATCTTTTCGTCATATGAAATGTAAACCACACAGTCTTCGTCCAGAGTTTTCTTGGATGTTGTACATATTCGTCTAGATCTTAAAATGATCTTGATTTCAAATTTCCATATATTAGCAAAAATAAAAAGGATGAAAGCACACACGATTGTAGAAGAGACTGACAATAAAGCAAAGTAATTATGATGTTGACCGAAGCCTGAACATCCCAGATAAGAAAAGTACTTTG